AAAGTCATTTGTCCATAATTGAAGTTTGATTTTGTTCAGCCACTTAACACTTTGAACTGGGATTTTGGGGTCATCTGCCTCGGTAGAATGCTTTTAAGTATATCCAGTATTTAATACTTCCCAGTTGTGCTCATGAAAAACATTCAGTCAAGCCTTCTCAACATGGATCATGATATTGAAATTAGCAGTGAAAAGGAACGGGGTTTTGTGTATGTTTTACCATGTGCATTTCAAAGCACTTGTGGCATTATTATCATTATTTTGCATGTTGTTTTGTAGGAAAAACAAAACCAAACAACCTGTTATTGAGAAATCAGACCCCCCCCCCAAAAAAACCCCCCCAATAAGAATAATTTAAAATATATGAATTATGAGTCATGGCTCCTGTTGAAAATATAGCTAGCCATATGATCATTTCTAATTTCTAATTGCCTTGAAAAGCAACCTTTCAAGAAATTATTCAGAAATTCCTCGGAACGTGAACTCACTGTGCCCTTGCCTCACCCAGAGAAAATCACCATAATCCAAATTCCTTTATCAATTTATACCAGTGGTTTTCAAATTGTGCTCCTCCAGATGTTTTGGACTTCAGCTCCCAGAAATCCTGGCCAGTTTAGCAGTTGTTAGGAATTGGAGGAGCACACTTTGAGAACCACAGGTGTAGACTGTCAATGTCCTCCTTGATTTGTGGTGCCCAGAACTGGACACAAGGTTATTCCAGGTGAGATCTGGCCAGAGCAGAAGAGAGTGGGAGCATGACTTCCCTCAGTCTTGAGAAGTGGTTCCCAATTTTTTTTTGACCAGGGATCACTTTGGCCAGGGACCACTCTCCAACATTAGTACCAAAAGGGTTATGAATCAGTTTTTGGTCAACTTTAGATCCGGTTTGGTTATTTGGGGTCCTGATTCAGAAAATTGTATTGGCTAGACCACATCAGCTCTAGTTTCTGATACAGAACATATGCTATCCAGTAGTCACCATCTTCTCGCCCACAGAAAACCATATTTAATAATCTTGAACTGAGGACCTTATTTTAGGTATCGAGGCCCACTAGTGGGCCATGGCCCACAGGTTAGGAACAACTGGTTTAGAGACAGTAGATTCCTATTGACACAACCTAGAATTGCACTGGCTTTTTTAGCTGCCACATGGCGCAATTGACTCACAGTCTCCACATCACACTGTTGGCTTGTGGTCTCCTAAGACTCCTAGATCCCTTTCACATATGCTATTTTCAAGCCAGATGTCATCCACTGTCTGTGCATTTCATTTTTATTGCCAAAATGTAGTAACCGAACCTTTCCCCCTCCTGAAATTAATTTTGTTTTGGCCTAGCTCTCTTTAGAAATCTCAAGGTGAGAGCATTGCCTTGCAAAGTGTGTATATATTTTCCACACTTGTAGATTTTGTATTTTTTGTTTGAATGTTGTGACTCTGGTTGATGCATAATCTTAAATGACGTTACCAGGGGCTGCTCCTTGCAACATCACCCTTAAAACATCACCAAGGCGTATCCCGTTATGAAAGGAGCTGCCCTAGGTTTTAACAACAAAATCTCAGGGCCTGTCTTGACCTTACAATTCTAATCTTGCACCATGGATGTAGGATTTCATTTTTTTGTGTGAGAGGTTTTTATGCTTGCTGCTTGAGTATGATTCAGAAGAGGAATGTTAGTTATGGACTTGAGATTCCAGGGTTCAGGCCTTTTCTCTACTTGTTGATGTTTGGCTCTGGTGCACATGCTGATATGGTGTGGTGCTGGGTTCCTGTGACTGTACCAATTGAGGGATTGCATCTTTGAATTATTTCTGACATAGCAACATTTCCCTGTTGCTGTTACTAAGAAAGTGTGCCAGCAAACTGACTGATGGCCAACTGTTGTGCACTGGAACTCTAACAAGGTTTCTTAATTCTTAATGGCTATGTACAGGCAGTCTTGGAGTTGCAAACATCCAACTTACATCAGACTCATAGTTCAGAACGGGGGTGAGACAACAGGAAGTGAGGTAAATTTCCTTGGAGGGGAAATTCACTTATGAAAGAGTTATCATGGGGGAAAAGTGTCTCCACCAAAGCTTTCTCGCCAATCCTTGTCTCCACAGCAATCCAAATATTTCAAAATCCAATTATCATAGAGACAGAAAGTGAAGTAGAATCTTCTGAACAGGGATATAGACAGCAAAACAAACACCACAGGGATGTTCACCTTTTCCTATGCTGTCAAAAGCTAAAAACACACACAACTGGAATTATATATTTAACATGTACCTGTTTCACCTTACATACAAATTCAGCTTAAGAACAAATCTATAGATCCTATCTTGTTCATAACTTGCGAATTGCTTGTATATGCAAAGTTGGTAAAAGGAGTCTGACTAACGTTTATGTGTGGCTCAGCTCCAGTGTAACAGTTATGTCCCAACTTTCCTCTGCTCTGAGGTTCCTTCACTCTTCAAATTCCATTTAGGAAACTCTTATCTCTTCCAGTTTTTACAATACAGTTTGGTACTTAACCTCTAGGAAAAAACACTAGTCTGAAATGAAATTTGGAGCATAACTGCCTCCTCCCAAAGGATGCATAGATCTCCATTATTACTTTCTTCCTGTCTGGATAGCAGGGGTGGAGGGTTTTTAAAAAATTGGCTGTTGCCTCTTTGCCTTGTCTTGGCTTGAAAAAAAGAATTACATATATAAATCCAGGGTGTTGACAGTAAAGCTGGGGGCATGTTCTTCAGGAGCTGCTGCTCCAGCTGCGTCTTGCTTGACTCCTAATCCTTGTGACACTTGTCAGGATGCCGGCTGCTCACCACCATGGTAATAGAGGTCCCGGGAGATGGGGAAAGCCAATGCTTCCCTGACATCTCCTGCTCCCAAAGATCAAATGCTTCGGCCAGCAAAGTCAGATAAAAAAGAACATGTGGTCTTTGATGGTTTGAATGTGGGAAGGTTTGGGGGAGACAGGCAAAATCTCTTCCCACTGTGTAGCAGTACTCCATGCTTAAGGAAAGGGGCTGTCCAAGTTACCACGTTTAGCTGGAAAATTACTTCCCCTTCCTCCGCTTGGGGGTTTGTGCCAACAGCTGATGAAGTGCCTTTCAGGCAGTGCACAATCTGGCTGGAATCATCTTGGGGACTTATGCCTTTGTAAATGAATTTGGGTCTATAGAAATTAGAATTGGGCATTTCCTGAATGTACATATCCAGTAAAGGACAGGACGACACAGGGGAGATAGCAAAGTGACAGAGGCAGAATGGAACCAATCCATGGCAGTCCCTTTGTCCACATTTGACCAGTGTCCCATTATGCATCCTTGGTATTAATTAATGTTTTAGTGTCTCTGCTACATAGATAAGTATATGTAAAGTTACATAACATATACTGTGATCGAGGACTACATTTAAGTGGTAAACTGCAAATGTCAGTAAACAGAAAGTAAATAGCATGTGGCTGTTTTTCTTTTTCTTTTAAATGTGTTCTGCCATCTTTTCTTCACTCCCCCGTTCCATCAGTTAAGGCCTCAAACCACTGTTTGGATTTTCCTTTGTGCTCTGAAATTGAAGTCTGTAATTTCATCTTTCAATTTCCCAGTCTTCTCCAGCCCTCTCTTCCTTGTAATTCAGTGTTGCTAGAAACAGTGTACTTCTGATAAAATATTGATTGTGGCAGTTTTATGGGGTTGTGAACTCAGTAGGGGCAATGGCCTTTGAAGTTCTCTGATTTCCTTTAGGATTTCTTGGGCAAAAACACAGCAGACTCGAGATGGAGAATTGCTTGGCCTGCAAAAAATTCTCTTTTGAAAAATCTCTCCCTTTGTGTTAATTCACCTCGCTCTTCACAGCAGATCATAAAGGCCATGCAAAGCAAATGCTTGTCCTCAGAACTGTAGAAAAGGTGGGTGAGCACAGTGAAAGTTGGCTCACAATGGCTTCATGAAATTTGACTCCATCCTCTCAGCTCCTCCCAATATTTCCCTTTCACAGAATTGGACAAATATAGTATTGCAGGTAGATAGTTCAGTTCAACCCCATTGTCTAAGACACGTGTCGAACTTTAGGCCCACATCCTGAATCTGTCATTGTATGTGGCCCTCCAGATGCTGGGCTATAATTCCTATATTCCTCACCATTTGACATTATCATGGCTAGAGCTGATGGGAGTTGAGACTCAGCAACATCTGGAAGAATGTAGTTTCTTTTGTTTAGTCAGGAGAGTGAGGTTTGAAATGAGATAGAATGCCTGACTTTAAAACGCCCTTTAACCTTTCTCCAATCTGAGAACCACAAGAGCTGTTGGGCTGCAATTCCCCCTATCCACAGTCACCAAAAGTGATGGGAGTTGTTATTCAATAACATCTGAGAACCCAAACTGGGCAAAAACAGAAGAGCACCAGCCACTGTTAAAAAAATCATAGTTGGCCCCTATGTATCTATGAATTCCCCATCCATGGATTCAACAGCACTTTGAGAGCAACCATAAGGCTGATCAACCATAAAGCTGATGGCCCTCAATGGAAATGAGTTTGATACCTTTGGTCTAAAGTGAAGAGCTGGATTGTGTAATAGAGGAGTGCCAGGGGTCAGCAAGTGGGCCACATCTCATCCCATTATTTGACTCAGTATTCCTGGTGCAAACTGAGAAGCAAGTGTTTAGAGGGAATTGGCAATCTTTGACCAAATAATTTGCTTTCAGAAAGTGGGTAGTCACTTTCCCCTTCTCTAGAAAGCTTGTTATTGCTGAGAGATTTGGATTTGTCAGGTAAGCAAGTGAAAGAAGGGAGTTATCACAGGCATGAGGCAGTAGGGCAAAGGAATTGCATGAGTTTGTGTACCCATCCTGTGAAAATTCTGTGCTGCCCAGTACAGGTTGCAGTACTTCACACTCAGCCCACCTTCTATGGTTGTTCTGATAATATGTGCAATTTGGGCCAATGCATGCAACATGGGTCCAGGCCGGTCTTGTAGTCGGCAAGCTGCATGCAGAAAAGAGAAAACTCCCAGCTGAACTGCACGACTCTTTAATGATCAAAATTTGCCAAAGGTCTGGCAGCGTTAATAGGCTGAGCACGTTTATCAATAACCATTTACTCTCCCTCTCCCTCCCGGCAGTAGCTCTGACTAGATCTGACACACAAATACTTAACTACCTTTTTCATCCAAAATCAATGCTGTATTTATCTTCAATGATCTACAAAGAAACCAAATGTTTAAAATTACAGGGGATGCAGAGAGAAGGCTGGCAGGGGGAAATACAGACAGTCAAGGAAAGAAAATACCAGCAGGTGATGGAGTTAACTGGGAAGCAGAAATCCAGGATAATATCAAAACATGAATACTGTAGCCAAAAAAGAGGGAGATGATACAGTAGAACATGGCTTTCCCCGCAACAAGCTGGGGCATTCTGAATACGGAAGGGGCGCTTCTGCAGGTAGATCCCTAACATAGTGTGTGTGTGTGTGTTGGGGGGGGGGGGAGATGGGGGGACTGCATGTACCTCTATATGCCTTTTTAAAAAGTCAAATTTCTTGCCAATCAGATTCTAGACAGGACTAAAACTCATTCCCCGTCCTCTCCCCATTCCCTCCCAAACCATTTTGAAGGACTGTTTAAAATGAAAGTCCATTTGATTGAGTCATAGCAAAATGCAAATATAGGAAGTCAAATTGGAAGTCAAACTTAACATGGTGCCCTAAAAACAAAATTCAAGGCACAAACTCACACTGAAACAAACAATTGAGTAGGTCATTGCAGATTACAGAGAGCAATCTTAAAGAGAGTATTTTAAATTAATCATTTGATCTTTTTTTGCACTATTAATACTCTAACATACTAATTTAAATATGAAGACTGCCTTGAACCAAAGGGGATCCACTGCAGTAACTTCTTACTTGTGCATGTGTCTTGCCACAGCGGGAAAAAATATGTACACATAGGGAATGGCAAAACATGGGATCTGTAGCATATGGTTGCGTTGGTTCCATCTGGCTTCTATCAGAAAAAGTAATCTACCTTTTTAGAGCCTTACTGTGAATCATGTATTCAACTTTTCAGACAAAATTGAAATTGGGTTCATATTTGAACGTGAGTGTGTATGTGTGTGTAACAAACATCCTTTTCAATGTAACTATTGCCGTTCTACAAAGCTGCATGTTTGTCAGATGCTTTGGGATGATTGCTTTTTTTGGGGGGGGGGGGTTGTTTTGTAAATGGTTTTTGTCCTTATCCCCCTGCTCCCGCATCAGTGAGGACCTGCCTCCAAAATCTTTTGCATAGTTGAAGGATATATGCCACGATTTGCTGGGTTTTTAAAAAGTGTGCCGGCTTTTATCCAGACAGCGATAATAATGAGTTGGAATAATGTTAACAAATAACCAGAGAGTGGTTCTAGAAACCATTTTTTATAAAGTCTACCTATGTTAAGAATTCAATATTGGTGTACATTTATATTAACAGAATATTTACATATTGTTTTCTTCTTTGTTTAAAACAAGAAGTTAACAAAAATTCATCTCTTCATACTATAAGGCAAAACCCAACAGTTTTGTAAATAATAATAATAATAATAATAATTTTAATATATATCTGTAACTTCAGTTCCAAAAAATACCAAGCGAAGTGAGTGGCCTCAATTCAGGAACCTCACAGTGGACAGGATGAAACTAGTGTATTTCCATAAATAATATGTTAAGAAACCCCAGATGTGTTTTGCTTTGACTTGAGGATCAGAGGCCATTAAAATTCAAACTAAAAAGAAAAGCCTTTTTTTATGTGAAAGAAGATCATCAAGTTAAAAAAAATACAAATTCATTAAAAATGTTTCTCATATTTGGGGAAGACATGTACAAACTTTGTAATAGTTTAAATCAGCACAGAAGCAAAACCAAAACAAACTGAAGACCTATATATTAAATTTCAATTTTCAGCAACCATTTGATTGGAAGGCTTACTATGGCCTTCCTTCCCATCTCCCCAATTATTTATGGAACTGTGCTTAATTTCTACAAATTTTACATTTAAAAAAAAGTTTACAGCAGTGCATTTTTTAAAAAGTTTCCTCCCCTCTACTGCAACCTTCCCCCGATATTTACAGGTGAGTTTTGAAATTCATTCTGTTTGTTGGAAAGGAACTATCGCGCCTCAACTTCTTTGGGATTCCTAGAAGGAGAATAGTCTCTTGACTCTGAGTTTGTCAGTGGAGTAGTCCGGCGGGGGGAGGAAGGTCTAGTCGTACTTGCGGGGACCAAAGGGGGTGGGGCACTCAGGGCGGCTGTGGGGGGGTTTCTATTCAAAATCCCATTGTGCATGGCGGCCGAGGGGCTGAGCCTGGGATAGTGGATCCCACTGAGATGAGGCATGAAGGAGGGCACATGCGCCAGGTGGCTTTCAATAGGGGATGAGTGCAAGTGGTGCATCCTGGCCCGTTCAAGTTCTTCCCGTAAGTGCAACCGCTCCCTCTCCTCAGCTTGCCTGAGCCGTTCCTGCTCACGCCGAGCTTCCAGAAGATTCTCGTGGTTATAGTCGTGGGGTTCTCTATCCCGGTAAGAGCGCTCATGGTCATAAAAGCCAGAGGTGGTGGGGAATCTGTGAATGGGATCTGTTCTGAGCTGGAAGTCCATCCGACGATGGAGGTCTAAGCTCCGATAGGCATCACGTAATGGGTCCCTCACTGTGTCCCAGGAAAAGCCAGGGTGGGGCAGTCTCTCCCTTCCTGACAATGAATTCATGCCCATTAGAGGTGTCATCATTCTACTACGATCCAGGACATTCATGTTGTTCATCTGGTGGACACTGCTCATGGAGATGGGCATGGTAGCTGCCATTGTATGGGGCAGTGGTAACCCGTGCAAAGAAGGCGGTGGGTGTTCAACAGTTCTGGAATGTTGTGAAGGTTCTGAGCTCACAACCATTATATCACCATCCTCCTTACACTCTTCTTTGACCTTGATGTCATTTTTAATCTTCTGAAGGTCTGTTGGAAGCTCTGGTTTTCTTTCAATGTCCTTGTTCATTAAATTGCTGAGTTTTAAGTTCTCGCTTAGTGCAGGCTTGCTGTAGGGTGATACAGACTGGATTACTGGCTTTGTGTTGTCTTCTGTGGATCTTTTTTCATGGCTTGGTGATTCCTTTATGGGGGATCGGCTTTCTTTGATCTTGTGCTCCACACCTGGAGGAGGATCCCTCAGCCGGTCAGGAATTTCCCTTTCTCGCTCAGGCTCTTTAGATCTTTCCCTGTCACTGAGCCCAGCTTGCCTTGAAGGATCATTGGAGGTCTGGCTGTTGCTGCGAATGAGGTTGCTGATCTGGTGAGTCACTGGAGCTGAAGCGGGCGAGGATCTAGTTGAATGTCTACTTTTATCCAGGACATCTCTGATGAAAAACAAAATAGATGGTGAACATTCTTCTATTGTTACTAACAGTTTTACATTCTCATTATGCAGTATAGTTTTAAACTGTTTCTCTGGTTGTAAGATACCATCCATTGTAAAACATACCCTAATTTCAGTACCATCACCATCAACAAAAATACAGAAGATATACCTGCAATTCTAAGAGATATTTATATAGGAAAAATTGTGTCTTAGAATTGAAGAAATAGTCATATCATGATGATTTAGTAAATGTTATAAGTTCTTTCATTCCCATCATTAAGGCGACTAACAAATAAACAAACCTAATAAAAAATTAAATAAAATAGATTCAATTTTGTAAAAAATAAACATTTTTGGATGGATACAAAAGTTAAAATACAGTTGAAATACAACTAATACAATTAAAATGACATTTAAAAGCTGTATGTTCCCCCAAAATCCCACTCTCAACTTTCCCAGCCATCTGCCCGTCATCCTCCCCCAAATGCTTGATGGCAAAGAAATATTGTGACCTGCCTGTGGGGTCCTCTTGGCCTCTGGACAGGTAGCTACAAAGTCTGTGAGGAGCAGCCACAGAAAGGCCTTCTCCCTTGTTCCCAGCAAACCAACTCATGAGGGACAGAGTGGGACAAAGAGAAGGCCCTCCCCAGATAATTGTAGGTAAGTGACAGGTTCACAGAGAGAGATATGGTGCTTTAAATAACCTGGGCCCAAGCTATATAGAACTTTATAGGTAAAAACCAGCACTCTGAATTGTACCCGGAAATGTGTTGGCAGCCAGTGGAGCTGTTGCAACAGAGTTGTTGTCCGCTCCCTGTAGCCAGCCCCAGGTAGCAGTCTGGCTGCTGCTCTATGGAACAGTTGAAGGTTCTGAGCAGGCAGCTGCATGTAGAATGCATTACAGTAGTCCCAACAGGGATGTAAGCAAGGCATGGACCACTGTGGCCAGATCTGACTTTTCCAGTAATGGGCACAGTTGGCGCACTAGCTTTAATAGTGCAAAAGCACTCCTGGTCACTGCTGAGACCTGGGGCTCCAGGTTCAGGGCTGAATCCAGTACACTCCTCAAACTGCAGACTTGCGTATTCAGGGGGCATGTGACCCCATGGAACACAGGCTGAACTCCTATTCCCAGATCTGTCTTATGACTGACCGGGAGCACCTTCAATTTGTTTGCTCCCATCCAGTCCATCACAGCTGTCAGTCACCAGTTTTGCACAGGAACCACTTCCTTGGAATTAGGTGGAAAAGAGTAAGAGTTGGGTGTCATCTGTGTATAGGTGACACTGTATTTCAAAACTTTAGATGATATGTAAGCTGGCCACTCCTTCATATAACAATCCAAATTCTCGATTCCTAAACTCCTAGAAAACTAGATACTTGCTGGATTATGCAAAATGAAATCTTTTCCCTCAGTAAAGTGCTAAATGGCTTTTATTCAGAACACTTGGTCCTGTGAGCTCTTTCTCACCTCTCCTTGTCTCGGTCTTCTTTACTTGAGAGATCCCTCTTTTCCAAGTCTCGATCTCGGTCGTGATTTGTCACAGAGGAGCTCCGCTCTGAATCACCTGGTTTGGGCCACTGAGGAGGTGTTGGGAAGGATGGCGGAGTCCGGTGGAGCCTGTTCCATGGCTCATGTGGGTTGCTGAAGCTCTGGACTCCGGGGCCATCTTTGTGAGCAAAAATACTATTATGACCTGGAACCAGAAGGAAAGGGGAAGGTCTGTTAGTCCCCCACCATTGAACAAAAGACTTCCAGACATTTGGGACAGTAATGCAGAAGTGCCAGTTACTGGCGCAGTTAACTTTTCAAGTTGAAGCGAGAGAGAAAGATACTTCACAAACAGTAATAACAGGATGGCTCTGATAACTCTGGAAGGAAGGAACAGTCCTTAAAAGCCTCTGTAGGAAAGAAATCGCATTTCTTTCCTACAATCACAGAACACTTCAGGAAAATGCCATTTCCATGGGCTGCTCTTTGTAAATGTTGACAACTTCCTCACAAATGAAGGGGAGGGGCATCTGAATGTATTTTTTAAAGTGTGTCACCTTCTAGGCATACAAGAAAATCAAATCTAGTTTTCTGTCATTTTTCTCTGACAGCATACAGAGCTAAAATCGCTGATGATTTTTGCACCCAATTCCAGAGACATATGCTGCAATATACTTATTGCTAACTTTCTTCCAAGGAGTCTGCAACGCAATTATGAGGGTTTCTTTAAATGCAGTGAATCCTGATCCAGCAGGCTCTCTTCCCAGAGTCTTTCCATCCAATGTAGTGAAGAAACTTCATTTTCTTGTGCTACTACTACAAGCTATCTTGCTTTTGGAAGACACAGCAGCAGAGACTGAGCCACAAACATATAAGGTAGGAACAGCAACATTGAGACCCATCACAAACAGGACAGCCACAAACATATAAAAGAGGAACAACAATATCTTAGCCTGCATTATTATTTGTGATTTATAAAAACTCCTAAAAGTATTCATTAACCCACCAGCCTCCCCATAGTGACGTACAATCAAATGGCAATATATATACAAAATACAAATAAAGCATGCTTTAAAAACAGATTACAAACAATTTTAAAAGCCAAAAGCCTTGCAAAATAATACAGTTCTGACCTCCTGCTAAAAGCTCAGTCATGACGGAAAGCAGCCCACATCCCCTTGGAAGGGTGTTTCACCATTGCGAGCCTAACCCTTCAAGGTTGGCCCTTTGTAATCTCTCTTTTGCCTTGCCTGGAATAAGGAGTACTTGTACTCTGCTTATTTTGGAATGATTCTGTCACTACGTCAAAGCAACAAGTTTTGTGTTTTGCAAGGCTTTAGGTTTGCTCGCAGAACACTATTTTGTACGCAATCTCCTATCCAGTCTCTGACATCTCCTGGCAGTCTTAGGGAAGGAAATCCTGCCATTTAGTGTAGTTGAAAATGAGCTACAATGACAAATGGTCCAACCCAGTAAAAGGCAGGTTTCTTTGCCCCTGTAATTGCTGTACTATCCTGTCTATATACTTGTCTGGAAAAGATACATGGCTATCCAACCCTGATGTTACGATTTATTTTAAGTTCCTGAATAATGATAGTTTATTTTCCAAAACCATGAAACAGATGCACATGAGCAAGGTCTTTGTCCTAAACATCCGGTTGTCATGGTAAGCTAGAGATGAGGACCAAGACTTGCTCTCTATGCTTTCTCCGACTTGCAAAGAGATGATTGGTAATACTTGGTGGTGGCTACTTGGTTTTGCATCCTTACCTTAGTTTTTTGAAATGCTGGAAAATGTTACAACACTTGCCTTGCATTTATTTTCCTGGATTGGACCTCATCGCATTTGAATATGCTCTCAAAAAGAAGCCATTCAAATACATAGTTGTGTTGGTCTAGATTATCAGTATGCAAAAGGATCCTGTAGCACCTTTGAGACTGAGAGAAGCAAGCTGTCATAGACTAAAGTTTACAAAACCTAACTATGAAAGCTTATGCTCCCCAGATCTTTCTCTTGATTAGTCTCAAAGGTGCTACAAGATCCCTGTGCAAAAAGAAGTGCTTGATAAGATGTAACTAATATTTTCAAGCATCTTTCAATCTGGTGGCGCCACCTGAGAGCAAATTCATGCCTTGGGAGAAGTGGACCTGAGGCACAGGACAATTATTACAGGTGTTGGGTGCAATTTTTCTAGAAAGCAAGCCAACGTAAAAAGATGCATGGCTGCCGGTGGGCGAGGGGACAAATTAGGGAAAAGCTCCTGCCACAGAGACCTGGAAGACTTAGGTGCAGTGTTTTGTTTTGTTTTTCTTCTCAAAGAGGAGAATGGAGGATAGGAAATAAAAGGGTTGCTTTGTTTTAAACAAACTACCACCAGCTGCTTTCAATGTGAGCATGTGGTTTCTTTGGAGAGGAGGTTTGTCTGCAGTAACCCAGCCAGTACTTACTCAGAGTATGACTGCCTAATCCTCCAAAGGCATTGCTGCCTAAGTTCCCAAGGCTGCTGAAGGTGCTTGACCTGCTAAATGGATCTGGAAAGGCAAACAGGGTTTTAGCCGGCATTGAGCCAAGAATGCTGGAGAATGAAATGCACCCCCTTCTCCCCTCCCCCTCGTCTGCTTTAATGGTCTGAATCCAAGTAGGATTAGGCCAGACTTTAAGCTGATCCTTCTCACTGCAAGGTTCTTTGCACAAAACATTCCCAGCATGTTAAAAATGGAGAAGGGATTTGAGCACTTACTCCATGAAACAGGTGCTGGAGTTAAGCTCTGTGCGTGCCAAGGGAGAGGGAAGCTGAAAGTTAACAGCCAAAGAGCCAAAATGACAGGCACCGCTACCAAGCTGAAACCCGATCCACTGGTGAAATCACAATTGCAAAAGGAAAAGCCAAAAACTGGTTTCCACCGTGGCATTTTATTTGTTTCTTGGGGGGTAGCAAACAGGCAGGAGAAGATGCCTGTGCGGGATCCTAGGAGGGTATAAAATTGCCTTTGATATGCCAATTCTCTTTCTTTGCCCCTCTGCTTTGGATTGTTGGGCGAAGTCACACTGTTCAGACTCAACCAGGAAGCAAAGATGTGACAAACCTCAAGATTACCATACATAATATCAGTGCTCTGCTGTGTTACTTGGAAACCACACACTTTGGGTGACACATTTCTCCCTATTTTCTCTAACTATATCTTCTATCTCCTGTCTCTAGTCTGCTTGTGTAATTTCCATGTTCTGAGTGCGGCTACAATTCTGCAAAGGGTATTTCAACCTGGAAGGGAATTATTATTAAAAATATGCTGTGTGGTCTAGCAATACAAATAGGTAGAACTTAATAACAGTTGTGTACTTGCCTTTTAACAAATTACTCGCTACAAATAGCACCATGACCCTGATTAAGTTATAAACCCCTATCCGTTGACAGAGGGGAGTGACAGTCACCCTATCATATTATTGACAGCCACACACTATCATATTATTGCATATGAATATTTGCCCTCTTATAATCACGCCTAAACTACATTGGATAACATCATCATCATCATCATCATCATCTTTATTTCTATCCTGTCTTTCTCTAGATGTGGGGACTCAAGGTGGCTTTAGAATTATGTAGCTAGAATGTTATGTAAAAATCAAGATAAAGATTCTCAGGATGCAAATAAGGCAATTTCATTCAAGAATGAGTTCCACTGATGGCCATTTGCCCAAACTGGAAACTCCATAGCCCAATGTTGGTGACGCACAGTAAAAGGTTATTATCGTTAACATGCCCTTCTTTTGAACATTTCAGGCCACCTCCCTTGAAAGTGAGAAAATGATGATTTGTTTCTTCTGCCAATGCTCTGCATATGCTCTAAAACAGCGTGTCAACCCACAGGTCCATGAGGTACCCATCCCAATGTTCCTGAAATCTTTGTAATACAAAGAAGTGACAACACTTGGGCAGTGGCTCCTCTTTGTGTGGTAATTGTATTGTTTTTATTTCCCATCAGCCTTGTGGAAACTATGCATGAACAAGTGATCCCATTTACCCAAACATGCCTGTGTGTATGTTTGGAGGAACAATGCTCATTTTCTTATCTTCTGACTCGTACATATTGAGTTTTGCTTATTCTGCCCGGCAATAACTAAGGAGATATTAAAGAGAGTTCTACACTTGAAAAAGGACATGTACTACCCAATTGCTTCTTTATTCCTTTTTGTTTTGGAGGAAGAGAATTTGCACTTGGAACAACTTGAGATTTTTCTAATGGGAAATAAATCTGGTTTGTTGCATAGCAAACACTTCTGAAACCTTCAATTGGTATCAGAAGACAGACTAAAATATTTACAATTTCAAGGGAATATTTTTCCTGTTACTGTTCTAAACTGGGTCTGTCTAAGCAAATTTTCAGATGGCATTTTTAAAGGTACAATACAATTATGCTTTTATGCTTAGAGACGAAGTCCCTCACACTCCTTTTAGTTGTTTTTAACACATTTTGATGTACAGGAAGACATACATACAGTATCTAGGTAAATGTGAAAAGTAGGCTTTACTTACACCTACCTGCCAAGTGGCTAGTAGGCAGGAAGCTGCTGTGATGTGGTGAAGGCCCAAAAGGAGTGGAAGCTGGGTGGGAAGAACCTGTGAATGTAAGGAAAAAAGCTTTCAATATGCTGGCAGGACACACCTAGGAAATTATCTACCAATGGAGTAAGATGCAAGTCAAGAACTGATAGTATATCTAATTAAGCAGGAACAAATGTTGGTTGTGTAAGACCTATTCTAGGATTAGAATCAAGCTGATATCATAAAAACGGGTGCGGTAATACTTTTCACCTATCCACCAATAATCCTCAAACTAGCCCTTTAGGGAAACATGTCATCCATCCTGCAAAATGGCAGTAGTAATAGTAGTAATGTTGGTTGCAGTCACAGACCAAAATACCAATATAATATAGAAATTAAAAAGGAACATACATCACAAGTGTCCAAATGCAAGCTTAATAAAACAGCAGGATCTTTTTCTCCCTTAATCTGCATTTAGACAAACAAAATCTCTGGCCACTTGTTCAGAAATGAAGCAAGATGAAAACCACTACAAAATGGCCTGAAATGAAGGCCATGGTGGTTTGTTTAAGGCCTGCTATTGAGTTTGTAGCTGAGATAAATTGGGAATCAGAAACTCCCTGGCTCACTCCAAGCTAGGTCTTGGCACTAGTAAGGAGTTAGAATTAAATAGACTAAGCCTCTTGGGGGCGCAAATGAAATTTTTAGCACCTCACTTTCCAAGCAAAGTATGATTCATGGATAATTAGTATTGTTGTTGTTCTGTGCCTTCAAGTCGTTTCAAACTTAGGGCGACCCTATCGCAGTGTTTTCTTGTCAAGATTTATTCAAAGAGGAAGCCTCCTTTCTGTCTCCTTTCCTTGCTTCCTCCCTTTTACCTGATTCTATTACAATGGCAAGAAAGAACAATCCTGAGTTATGTGTTTGCATGTCACAAACATCATATAAGTAAATGTTAAAATGAGTGTAAGTAAGGGGAGGGAAAAAGCTGAAGAGCTTATGCCAGAAACCTACAGACACACCCTTAAACATGAAGGGCAGAGAAGTCCCTCAAATATGGAACTGATACTGGCCATGGAAAGTCTGAAGTTTATATTTCTAGAATGCCCCCATACTTCTCCAGTTTCTGGAAGGGAATAGAACAATGATCCAGCTGTTGATTGGGAATGTTTGTTGTCATTCTTTTTAAAGAATCCTTCACAATCTTTTCTGAGAAATTACAGGACTGTTGGGAAGGCAATGCGAAAGCCACCGGTCTAATCCCACTTGGACCTCACTCTGGGATGATCGAAAAGTGATTGGGTAAATTGGCTCTAAGCAACCAGAAAATGAGTTAAGGAAACCCCAGAGAGAAAAGCCACCGTGGCTAACAGGACCTGGTGTTATCTATAAACATTGCTACTTGCTCAGCTGCTATGAGATGGATGGAGGCTGTCATCTTTCTAATCCTGTAGGATTTCAGAAGGTGTATAACGGATGGGAGATTTTTTCAAAGGAGACGGCTTACAAACTTGACTACATGAGGCTGATAATAAGAAGAATAAAAAAAGGAAGGAAATCCTCCAGAGAAAGCAAGGGATAGTGTTGTAGACTGTCAGGTAGTTATTAAATATTACATTTGCCAGGCAGCTGAACATCCATCCCAGAGACAGGTAGGCCTAAGATAAGTTATGACTTTTGCGGTAACAAGGCAATGTGGCAGAACCCATGGTTCACACAAACTACATCCTTGTTTGATAAGTAAGGAGATATTCAGATACTGTAAAGCAAAAGATTTATTAAATCTTTTTACTTGAGTTGCAATATTTGTTCACCTTGCCATCTTTATTGAGATTTACTTCTTGATTACTGCAGTGATTAATTGTAAAGGTATTATTCATCTAGTACAGAAATAAATGATTCTATTAATTTACTTTCTGTGCAGCACAAACATATGCATGCGTATTCGAAACAAGGTCGCATGATGATCAAAGGGGCTACACCCTACTAAGTGTGTTTAGAGTGGGAATCTACTAACCTATTTACCCCCTTAAATATATGTTAACTAGAAACACGTTACTCAATTGGTAAATAAAAAGAATACTACAACATACAGGACACTTTTTTTCTTAGACCCCATAAAAATTAGAAAGATAGAGTGAGAAGGAAGAAAGCTGAGGTGTAACAGTAAACTGCAAAATGGAACATGAACATTGAGTTCAGTTAATCCAAATATTGCAGTCAGTAACTTTTAAAAAATGGGAGGAGTCTTGTCTGCATGGTGGATAGTAAGCATTTATACCTCAAACGAAAGTCTAGTCAAAATACTGTAACATGGAATAGTTTGTGAAGTTGTCCTTGAAAGGCAGACATGTGTTCATGTTATGCCGTTGCCAGAAAGGGAATAGTGTGTGGAGGTAGGTAGCGTATTAGGTGAGTATGGAAATCCCTGTTTTACTATTCACGAGATTATTGTGTATGGCAACAGAACTTTGGGAAGGGTCACCATATTGTTTCTCAAGAGAACAATCATCTTGGATTTTTTAACAAAAGGATTTGGCTGCAATAGATGCACACAGGCAAACGGCACTATTGAATGCATACAGTGCAATGCAGAGTAAACCCCACTGAAACAAATGGGCTCACTTTTGAGTAGACATACGTAAGATTGCAGTATATGTGGCATTTTTGCGCAAAGATTTCCTGCCCTACTAGAGAAAGTTGACCCAGGAACATTAAAGTGGTAAAAATCTTTCTGACATAATTCCAACAAGATTACCACTACTGATTTTGTAATAATTTTTTTAAAGAGAAGGTAGTATGATGTGTGTGTACTTATCCCACACTCAGCCTGCCTTACCTGTTGTGGAAAAGAGCGGTCGAGCAAGATCTTGTGGATAGTGGAAGCCAGGAAACACGCTGGGAGCAGGAGGTCTGCTGAATAGGTCAAGTTTCCCACCTATTTCTAGCTTGTGAGGATCCAGCTGCATTTGCTGTCAAAGGATACAAAAAACCATCTTACTACACATTTCCCTTTTCTTTAAGGGGGCAAGGGGAGGTGAAAGGCTTGCTAACAAAGAGCTTCTACTCCACACCTAGGTATGAACTGCCAGAGAGAGTTAGCCAGAGTGACAACAGCATCTGGTGTCACATTCTGGAAGTCGTGCTCTGACAGCAGCCGCTGCAAGCCCCTTCCACTCCACAGCTACTTGGCGTCCACCCTTCTGTGAATAAGGTCTGAAGTGAACTTTGAGCTTCATGGTGTTCACACAGCAGGAGAATGCAGCACTCTAGATGGGAGGAAATCATGCTCCCCACCCCTTCGGATCTGTCTGCAGTCTCCCCATGACACAAAAAATTCAATGGGCTGAACGAGGTGGACAGAACCAAATCTCAAAGAGCTAGGTAGCAAAAGTTGTGTGTTTGGTCACTTTGCTACAAAGACACAAAGGTGGGCCGAGAAAGAAGGAGGTTTGTGGAGACCCTTCTCTTTCTTGGGGCCAAGAAATCACAAAATCTCAATATCGTGGATCATCGTGACGAAATAATTCACGACTTTTATTCAAAGAGCTTTACAGAACCATTCATTTTGGACAGTTCATGAGGTTGGAGCACCCTTCCCATGCTGTTAAAACTAGTCTATAATAAAAGGAGTGGAAAGCAACAGAATTCCAATGAGAAGTGGCAAACTTTTCTCAAAAGGGGTGACAGCTATCAGTGTCCTACAGAAGGGTGACCCATATTCTTCTGCCACTGAGTTCTTCACTGATGCTGATAACTAGGAGTAGGAAGATGTAGCACTGCTATCAAAAAGTGGGAGCCAAACGTCTTCTTTCCATGGGCAAGGGAAAGAAAAACAAATAAGAGGATGGGACATCATCATATGCCAATTTCCCTCACTAAGCTGACTGCTGCTTACTGGGATGAGGATGATGACATGTCACCTGTTTCACTCAATATGTCTGTGAAGGAGACTCCCTTCCTGGTAATATTAGATCAGCCCCCTCCCTCCTGTCCTTCAGAAGGATGGTGAAGACCTGGCTGTGGGATCAAGCCTTTGGGGCAGTGCAATGGGGCAATAATAGAATGGTGTCATGAGATGGTTTTTAAGCAACTGATTTTAAAGAGGATATAAGTGGTTTTAATATTTGTGTATATTTATGGTTTATGTTCCAGCACTGCATGTTTGCTGTATATATGTTGTGCTCCGCCCTAAGTTCCCTGCGAGGTGAGAAGGGCGGAATATAAATGTTTTAAATAAATAAATAATATTGTGAAATAGATGACGGGCACATGGGGCTGTTTCCTTGGGCATCTCCTGCACAACTTATTTCCAACCCAGACTGTTGAGCAAAACCATCACATTTGATCCCAGTTTATACAAAATCTAACTACCTGTCTGATTCCTAACCAAGAGTCTCTGCTAAGACAGCTTTCTCAGGTACCCGAGATGCTAGAATTGGGGCTGTTATGACCTCGAACACTGGTGCTCAACCATGCAGAACAAAGGCTATTATGGGTCTGTCTGTATGTGGATATTGGCTGCAATACTGCCTTGGCTACTGCTGGGCATAAAAACCACAACACTGTCTTAAAACATTTCCGTAAATCTGAGAAACTCTGGGTTACAAGCCATTCTGAAGCATTTTCATTGCTAGAAGGAATCTGCTTCTAGCATTATTAATTTCAACCAAAGGATGCAACTCTATTTTTTCTGTTTTAAAATAACAGTATAGTCCATGAAAGTGACAACATGTTCAAATCCAGCTCCATTAAATTCAGAAAAGACTTTCCACTACATGAAACTTCATTGTAGATTATTTTTCTCCTGATACTAGTTATTCAGCTGTAGTGGTGAATACTCATCAAAGTAATGAGCAAAACACAAAGCAGTTGCGCTGATGGTAAAGGAGAGAATATCATAATGGCATAAAACAATTTCTCTGATTCTAAATTTGCTTCAAGGCACCTAGAATTCTATGGTTCAGTGATCCCTAAGCATTTGTCCACTGTCTGATAGCTGTCAAACAAGTTCTACAGATATTGAGTGACCAAGGTAGTTTCTGAGACTAACTCAGCCCTTGATTTCTGCCTTCTTTTAAAGTAATGTTTCCCAAGCATTAGTCCTCCGGATTTCACTCTGGGTTTTATTGGCCAATGATCAGGGATTCTGGGAGCTGAAGTCAAAAAACACAGAGAAGACTAGAATTCGAGCAACACTCTCTCAAAGGGCAAGAAGCTCTTAACATCTTCTATGCATAGAAGCCTTCAATATCGGGGACACCACCCCTGCCCCAAAATATATTGCCAAGAATGATCAATATTACCCCAATAGTTTCAGCAACTTTCCACAACATGACACTGAAACATCTATGGCTCTGACTGCACTAATTGGTACATGTTCTAACTGGCACATTTTAGGTCTTTGCTTGCTGCACTCCTCCAGAACATGCTTATGAGCAATATAGGTGGCACAACGCAAGATTTGAAGACCATGAATTTTAGACTCCACCAAGCATAAGTTTTTGAGGGCATCGCTTGAATATTGGAAGCAAGCTATTCCTAAGATCCTTACCTCTCCAGTTCCACAGTCCCCCTCCATCCCGCCCCGCCACACAACACCGAAGAAGAAAACCCCAAACACCTCCGACACAAGGACTGTCATTCTACTCGCCTGCTCTATGTTTTGTAAAATGTCCTTCACCGTACCGCTCATTTCACTCTGAACAGGATAACACTCCATATTCCACAGGAGGTACTAGTGCAGAAGGGAAATGATATTAAACACGCGTGCTTTGTACGCCCCCGCCCTCCCCACAAACCTCCCAGCTTTTCTTCTGATCTTCTCCTTTGGGTTGCATATTAATACCTTTCACTCGTTTGCTACCAGACTGCCCTGCCCCACCAGACAAGCGCAACCATTTATAGCTCTACGATAGATGTTAAAAGATAGAAAGGCTTAATTAATTCCAGATCTTACAAACAAAAGCAACACTGTGAGAAGCTACTTGTTTGTTAATTGGGGGGTTGGAGCAGGAACAGAGCCCAAAAGACTTCTTGTCTCAGGAATCAATGCACTCATTTACCTTTATCTTCTGCTGGTGGTGGTAGATCTGCCAAGCAATCTGTACATGAACAGCACACCACTTGCCAGGTTTCTGCAATCAAATGTATACATATAAAATTAGGTTGTACTTAAAATGCTACTAATTTGGAGTCAAAATGTTTAGGACAGAAAACGAGACTAGCCATTCACAGTACTGAGTATAGAACAGAACTAGTTTGTCACTCAAATATACAGTAGCAATCATTTTTATACACAGAAAAACAATTTTAATGCAGCACCCTCTGTACAATTTATGTTTCAAAGTCTAGGAGCCCCTGGTGGCGCAATGGGTTAAACCCTTGTGCTGGCAGGACTGAAGACCGACAGGTCGCAGGTTCGAATCCAGGGAGAGCGCGGATGAGCTCCCTCTGTCAGCTCCAGTTTCCCATGCAAGGACATGACAGAAGCCTCCCACAAGGATGGTAAAACATGAAAACATCCGGGCGTCCCCTGGGCAACATTTTCACAGACGGCCAATTCTCTCACACCAGAAGCAACTTGCAGTTTCTCAAGTTGCTCCTGACACACACCCACAAAAATGTTTCAAAGGCTGAGGGGTGGGTGACCCTCAAAACTGATTTTGTAGTTAAAGGAAAAATCAGTCATATACTGCATTTTCCTGCTAAGTGCTACAAGTGTGTGCTCTCCAGTCTTACAGCCACAAACCAAAAACATAATGGAGTTCATATCTCACTTGTTTGGCTGATTTATAGGTCTGGTATGGCTTGCAAAGAGTCCTGGGTAATTTATAGAATGCCATATTTTTCAGATAGGAGATTGTGTTCCATGGGAAATAAGGCCTGTCTCAGTCACCCTCATGTTGTTAGATACGATTCCCAAAAAGATGATTGGCCCTTGCACTTGCTTCCTTCAGGAGGTAAGTGAAAACATTTTGTTCTGCTATTGAAAAAGATAGGAGGGGTCCAGCCATTATTGATTTGGTTGTTTAAAATATTTGTTTAGGGTTGTTTCTACTAAGACCTAGTGAGCAATCAAGAAGATCACTTCTGGATCAGACAAAACATTCCAGGATCCCATTGGCCTCTGCTATGTTTCTCAACCTACAAACATTGCAATTATTCCCTAGAAACCTATTCATCCTATTGCATGTCATTATATTAACCTATACAAGAAATAGTGTTACATTCGCATTAACTCAGTATCCCATTACTTTTTGGGTTAATGAGGGCAGGAAAACATTCCTTTTCTGAACTAATACAAATGGTTATTCACTGATCCAAAGTTTTGTTCAGCGGAATCATTTGGGGGAGATTTGGGGCCATTTCTCCATCCTGTATTTATTTATTTTAAAAAACGAAAAACAAAAAGAACATGCTAACAATGCCTCCTCTGTGCCCAGGGGTATCCCACTGCTACTTTCAAAATTAAAATACTTCCCTTTGGCTGGGACTGCTTCAAGGCAGTGTTCCCAACTGCTTGATCACTGATTTTCCCAAATGTCGCCAAACCTCATTTGCAGCCAGAAAAATACCTTGTAAGATGGCTAAGGCCCAGGGCTTTGTTTTGTAAACCCCAACTCCAAAAGGAAGGAAATTAGGAACAGGGTTACTCTCCCTGTTTGCAAGGGGAGAAAGGCTTGGGAATGCAGTGGGGAAACTAGAGGGAAATGTGCGATGGATGGGGGTGGACTGGGAGGTGACCCACTGAGGTTTGTGGAGGGAATGGGGACACTGGCATTGGCTTGGGGACCACACGATCGAGTTGAAGGATGGAAACAGAGCCAAATGGACAACAATATTAGGGAAGCCAGCAGACCAACCCACAGGGACAGGAGAAAGCAGGGGAGGAATCTCTTTGTATTGGTTCTCTTTGTGAATGAAATTGCTTGGATGGTGGTTCTGAATAAGAAAGAAATTTGAGAGTTTAGGGGAGTGGCTTTGCATTTTAGGACAAAGACCAACTCTCTGTTTTGTATTCAGCTTCTTGAGCAAGTCACTTAACTTTTAACATATTCAGTTTTTGTAGCATGGGTGGTTTCACTCTGGCTGTTCCCCCCACGACATCAATTTTATGTCCACATCCATAACAATGTCACCCAACTCCAAATGTGTTTTCTTGCTCAAAAAAAGGCTAAAGAAGTTATGATTTCACAATATTGTTTCATTGACTCCCCGCAACTCCATCCAAAGTAAAAACAAAACCCACTATGGGTGCAACATGCTCATTTTTCATATTTATGAAATAAATAAAGAGGAGAGTTTAAAAAATCCCCGACAAACCTTACTTACTCGTACAGGAGCCCGATAGGGGTCAGACACCTAAGGAAAATATGGAAAAATATGTGTTTTCCCTGGAAACACTTTCATATAAAGAGAAACACAGGGAAGATAATAAGTAGAGAAAATAATGCAGGACAAGAACACAATTGCTCTATTACAGAAAGCAGTTTTGAAGTGCCAGAGGAGCAGGCTCCTCCACCCCTTTACAAGCTTAGGAATGGAAGAACTGCTTCAAAGCTGTCTTCTATGATTGTAGTGAGGATGATCTATAAAAAGGTACTGAATATCTTAATCTGTGGTGTCCAAAAATATATTCTCATGTCAATAATAGGATTCCAGTCTGTGTATAACAAGAAGCCTCTTCCTGTTCTGCACCATGACTGCACACAGGGATTGTGAAATATATCTTAAATCTCCACATGTGGTGTTATACCTTGATCATGCTACTCCAATTTTGTGTTGAATGCACACCCACATACATAACCAAATGAATGCAAATATTCCATGTTGGACAAAAGTGGGCAAACTGCTTCCAGCAGGGAAGTTATGACCAAATGATAATTTTTTTTGAATACAAAAATTAAAAAAAATAAATTTCTCCTCTAACAGAAAATATTATCATGAGACTGAAGGGGAAAAAAGAAAAGAAAACCATTACATGCTACTGTACTTACCCCTGGAGTCTTCTGAAGAAGAGTGTGGTGTACTGGACCAGGCCTACTTGCTACATCAATTGGATTGGAAGTCTACAAGGGAAAAATTGAAACTCTTTGATGCAATGGTAGCAAATGGTATAGCTAGTTCATACGATAACTCAAGGGGATTTAGGATGTTTGACAAGTTCCTTCTAAATGGGACCATATGATGCTGCTACAAGTTTGCATTATTGTTACTGAAAGACGGGGAGAGGTTCCCTAAAATTGCAGGCCTTACTGAGGTTAAATAGCAGAGCGAGACAAATCTGTACTAAGATGTGAAAAGGATTCCATTCCAATCCTCAACTCTCAAGCCTTTATTTTGAGAGGCCCAGTTTCTAACAGTACTATACAAAGCTTCCTGCTTTTGTAATCACAAATATTTACCATGTTCACATACAGATATGTGAACACGGTAAATAACTACTTTTGACCTGAATCCTATTGGATGAAAACAGTGTGGAAAATAAACTCTTGAGTTCTTTCTTAACAAATGAACAAACATGGAATGGGCGACACTTGGTTTGAAAGCAGTATATATGAACATGAATTAGGGGTTTTACTAGATCGCAAGCTACTAAACAATGTGATGCACCAGCCAAAAAAATCCAATACAATTCTGGACTGCATCAACAAGATCCAGGTCATGGGAGGCAGTAGTGCTGCTCCATTCTGCTTTAGTCAGACCTGTACTGGAAGACTCTGTGTAATTCTAGGCAGTACAGTTCAATAAGGATATTAACAAGCTGAGACCTGTCCAGTGAAAGGCAACTGAGATGATCACAGCACTGGAAAACAAGCTTATGAGAAATGACTGGGAGATGGTGAGTATGTGTAGCTTGGAGAAGAGACTAGAAGAAGATGGGAGGAAGCTTGTTTTCTGGGCTCCAGAGACTAGAATGAACCAATGGAGTCAAACAACAAGAAAAGATTATACCTAAAGACTGCAAAGAACCTCTTAATGTTCAACAGTGGAATGAACTGCCTCAAAGGGTGGTGGACTCTCCTTCAGAGGTCTTTAAACAGAGGTTGGATGGGCATCTTTCAGGAATCCTTTGGCTGTGTGTGGTAGCGCGTTGAACATCAGAGGTGACAAGAAAACAAATGTGTACCTGCACTTTTATGTAGTATGTTTGGAACCCACTCAACAGACCAAAATACCAAGGATTCTTTTTTCCTGGCAGTTATTGTCTAGATTAAACAGGACAACCCTTTGGTTTCACATCTGCGTGCCATGATGACGTGACTTGCCTATTGTTTTGATTTGCTGGAGGGGATGGCAAGCAATCAGTCTATTCCTTCCCATTGTACTTAACCAGTTGTCTTCCAGGATCAGTGCAGAAAGTTTAGTGAATTCTTTAACCAGACATTGAACTGATGACGCAGGTCAAACTACTGTCAGATTTCAAACAGGGAGACTTTAAGGAGCAATCTATGAATGTACTCTGTAGTTATAGGGTAGTTTTAAAAATCAAAAGAAAAAAAATAGAGGAGGAGGAGGGGAGAAATCCAGATTTGTATGTGCCGAGGGAAATAACCCTGTAAGCAGAAGAGCTGTCAGGCTGCTTTTGCAAACTGATGGGCAGGGAGGCAAAAATAACAGCTATGATGCATTTTAAGGTCACATCACATCAATACCGTGAATGATAGAGTGCCCTTTGGTCCCTCTGTCCCTCTGAAGACAGAGGGAAATGCATCCTTTGGCAAAGTAAATTGAATACTTTTGACCTTTTCAAGTTCTTAGCTCATGAGAAATGGCCTTTGGGAAAGTAGCTAAGAAGTCTGCAGTCAGGTTGGATTCATGTGGTGGGGATTTACATATGAGGCCTCAGGGAAGTGACATGAGAAGTGGGGAGGGAAATGAAAACAAACTCTCTGCTTCATGGAGCAAGAAGGACAGAATTCATTAAGCCATGGCCAGCCACCGAATATGTGTGTCATGATGATCTAGGGCTTAAGGAAGCAGCCACTGGGGAGGAAGAGGAAAGTTTGGAAAGAAAAAGGTTAGGATGATTTGTGTGGGCTTCTGCCTTGTTCTGAAGGCTTTGGTGTTACCGTTTTTCCTGGGAGAGGACTCGTTTGTTGCAGAAAGTTACAGAGAATTTAAGTGTGTCCATATGTTCCCATTTGAGCCAAAGACAGAAACACTGTGCTGTTGGGGGGTGGGGGGATTAGGTAGCTTCTGTCAAAAAAGGCACGCACACACATTCTACATTGGGTACTTAGTTATGTCTATGTGACCAAGTTTTCCATCCGACCCTGAGCCCACCTTAAGAGGGCTTAGGCAAAGGAGGCCTGATCAGTTGGCGACTGAGGGGTAAGGAGGACCACATTGCCAACCCCCTCCCACCAGCAAGTGAGACTACAACAAGGACTAGCATGAGGGGCCCTGTGTCAGATTGTTCAGCTTCACTTCCTGGCAGGAGGGAGAGAGTTATTTCACCTAATCTGGTCCATCGCTATTAAGATGGACAGTGGGAGGACATTTACATAGTTTTACAGCAAGACTATATAGTCTTACTGAATACACAGCAGCTATGGATCCATACATCTAGGTAACTGAATGCCAGTACTATATACTAAACACTGAATGATTATTAGAAAGAACATATTTTGGCAAAAATTCAATTAGTTCCTACTAAAGTACAGCTATTGAAAGAGTGGAATTTACCCCTTTTGTTATCCAACAGTTGGGACTAATCAAAAGGATTCAGGTGACTATATCCTGAAATTCTGTCTCTTCTTCTTGGCAGTATTTATAGCCTGTAGATAACTGCAAACTAACCCTACACCAGGCCAACCTTAAAGGGGATTTGGCTGAGTCAGTTCCTTCTTGCAGAATAATATTGCTTGACATATCTGAAGCCACGACACAAAGTTTCAGATGAAGTGTTTCATATGTGTGCAGACGCATAACATCCAAACTCTGCAGTGACACATTCTAATCAAGGTGAATTCATAATAAAATTGTACCTTCGGCTGAAAGGCTCCCTGAAGTGACCCAAAGGGACCCGAATGTGGAAGCATAGGTGGCATTCCAGGCATTGCTGGAGGGTAGCTTGGGAAGTACTAGGAGACAAAAAGGGGAGGGGGAAATGTACTTATATCTTATATTAAGAATACATAACAATTGAGGGGAATGCAGTTGGTCCAATTCATAAAAACTTTTTAAAACACCTCAGATTCCAATGCCAACTTCAAGAATTCTGTTTTGGGAAAAACCAAAATGAAAGGACCCCTAAAGCCTTGCTAAAGACTGATATAGCATCATTCTTTGGAATCAATTGTATTTTCTATTAGAGTTGCATCACGTGATGGCCAAGCAACACACGAGAAAAGCAAAGGAGTTTCTGTTATTATGATGAGAGAATCAAACAAAATTGGCCTATTTGTCCAGCGCAGGCCACTCTCTCAGGCAATGGAACCAGATCGACTCAGTTGCCTTCCGAACTATCTAGCCTGAACAGCTAGAAATTTGATGGTTCCACAAAAGGATGCTGAGATGCTCAGATGGCATTTGTGACTCCTGTTCAAGTTCTAAAATTGCACAGCCTCTTTAATGAGTCTAATTATATAGCAGCAATTTTTCTATCATGCTTCTAAGCTACCAATGCCATTCTGCCTAGCCTATCTGTTATCCATCAATAAAGTATCATTTTAGTCTACACTCAGGCTCTGCCTATCTTCATGATCGCATCTCCCCCTATGAACTGACATGGACTCTAAGATCTGCTGGGGAGGCCCTCCTCTCGCTCCCACCACTTGTCACAAGTGGGGCAAGGGAGAGGGCCTTATCAGTGGTGGCCCCCCGACTTTGGAACTCCCTCCCAGGGATATTAGGCAAGCCCAAAACAATCTATGCGTAATGTCAAAGTGTATTATCAAAAGATCATATAGTATTCCATTTACCAAAATCCCCAGAACATAGCTCAATTCAGTGGTACACAGAAATCAAAAGGAGCAGCCGCTCTCAAACATAACAGTTCTAGGTCTGGATAAGGATTCCACTGTATATAGGCTTCAGGGATACATTAAATAAGAAAAGTCATATAAACAAAGTAAGTATTGAGTCATAAGGCTATATGTAAGCTGAAGACAATAAGGAGGATGAAGCGCCACTCTCAAAACAATCTTCATGGAAAAGATCCAACTAAAGTCCAGTGAAAATGGAGCACTGCTTCTCAAAATAAGTCTTCAAAGGAAAAGTCCCAATGGCATTCAACAGGGGTGCCCGGGTATTTTTGTACCCTGTTTCGGGGAAAGCAATCCCCTTCCTCAGGAGTTGATAAAGTCAGCAACTCTAGACTCTTATATCATGCCAGATAGCTTATACAAAAAGTGACTCTGCTTGAAGTATGAATTTACTTCAAGCAGAGTCCTTATTGTCTTCAGCTTACATATAGCCTCATGACTCAATACTTACTTTGTTTATATGACTTTTCTTATTGAATGTATCCCTGAAGCCTATATACAGTGGAATCCTTATCCAGACCTAGAACTGTTATGTTTGAGAGCGGCTGCTCCTTTTGATTTCTGTGTACCACTGAATTGAGCTATGTTCTGGGGATTTTGATAAATGGAATACTATATGATCTTTTGATAATACACTTTGACACTACGCATAGATTGTTTTGTGTTTGTGCTGATATCTTACAAGTACTCTGGGATATTGTGTAATATTAGGCAAGCCCCCACACTGTCCTCCTTTCGTAGGGACTTGAAAACCTAGATGTTCCAGCAAGTTTTCAAAAATGATTAGTCCTTAGGCCCAATTCCCAGGTAATCAGAAAGTATTTTGTTCTGCACTCCATCTGCTTCCCCGGCACTACGATTTGCTATTTGCACTATCCCATGCCCAGCCCTTTCTATAGTTGGCCCACGTCCATTTAGTAATGCTGCCTTTGTTGAACCTCTACTGATGGAGCTACAATGAAATGGGTTTTTAATATTTTTATCCTTAATGTGTTTTAGCAGAATTTTTGTATTTATGATGTTTTATTTTGTCTATTAAATTTAATTACATTGTGTTATATTGTCGAATGTAGTTATTTTGATGTAATTGTAAGTATGGTTTCTTTCTGGCAATTGAATGTTCGCCTTACACGTTGGAAACTGCCCTCAGTCCCTCTGGGGAGATAGGGTGATTGATATACAAATAAAGTTTATTATTATTATATAATCCAGTTCAAAGCAGATAATCTGGGATCAGAAACTGGATTATATGACAGTGCAGAAGGAGCCAAGGTCACAACAAATGAGATCTCTTTATATGACCTGGTTGAGTTGCTGGTCTTCAAAAATGAGTTTTGACATGCTTTCCTATGGAAAAGAATGCTTATTTGTGCTAGATTTTTCTAGAAACAATAGGGCTATCCCATAATGGAGCCCATTTGATATAAATGAAACAGTTTCATTTTTATCGGGAGGCAGGAAATTAGCCATTGCTATCGTTCTTAATTCTGCTTTTTACTAGCCCCCTGCAAAACATGCCATTTTGGTAAGTGTGAAAGCAAATTGCTTAGCATCTTTCATCTTTATCTGCCTCCCAGTTCCAAGATAATTATCATAGTTGCCAACCATGAAGTCCACTATTATCAGTGCACACTTTTAATTTTCCACAGTCTGCGGTCCCAGAATGCTACTTCTGACACAGCAATTGATAAAAAGCAAGAGTGAGAGAACAGTAAATGTACCAGGAGAAAGGCACCACTAGAGTAATACCAAACTGGTTTCAATTCTGCTATTTGCTTCTGTAGTTCTACAATGACTGATGCATTTAATTTAAATACTTGAAACCACCTTTCAATGTCAGGATTTTTTCCCACTGTCACTGGGATATGCCTAATAATTAGATCTCCTCTGCATTTGACTGTATTCACTACACATTTTCTTCCACTTGTGCTCTACATGCTCTCTGATTAGGATAGCCTTCAATGTATTATATCCCAACACTCCCATTTGAAGAGCCGCCGAAACCCTTAGTCTGGAGTGGTTCCCAGCTTAAGAGGTAGGTTTTTGGAGAGTGGCTACTTATTAGTCTAGTATCTCAAAATTCTGGTTAATGTTGAAGAAGAGATTCTTTAAAAAAAATCAAAGATCAAACAAAGACCTACAACTTTCAGCAACAGAAAATCTACAAGGACTATAAAAACAGAAAGATTCTGCCTTTAAAACCCAGAACTCCCAAAAGCACTTACGTTAGAATGTCGAAAATAAGGGTTATCAAGTTTGGGACCATACTTGTCAAACTGGAAGAAAAAGAAAAAGGAAGACAACAGTGAATTGGCTTTTCTTCAACAGTGGAATGCAGTCAAAGAATGTTCTTATAGCAGAGGTTCTTGTGTAGCTATTTCTTTGCTTAAAAACTAGCCATGTGTTTTCTACACATCATTGCCCACTTAAAGTTAAAGAACTGCATCACGAACCAGCAAGTTCAAGCAACTGACCCAAATCTTCTCTACCCCACAAGCCTTTCCTTAAGAAGCTATCCAACACCCCAATTGCATTCAAGCTTTGAGTAGTATGAGTTTGAATAAAACACCTTGCTTCCTTTCTTGTCATCAGGTCATTCATTCTTCATTAATCTTAACATATTTTTTTTTGCAATTTATCTTTGGAGCGACCCTGTAGGACAAGCCACTATTATTTCCATTTCAAATTTTCAAGAGGTGTTGGTGTGATTTGCACTAGGGCCTTCTAGTGAATCTGTTACTGAACTGAATACAGGCCAAGAAAGGTTTTCCATGCAATTTCTCTGACTGGAATGCTTTATAACGCAAATCTTCTTTTGTCAGCAGACTCCCCATCTCATATTTATTACATAATCCCAGCTCAATGCCGCTCGTTCTTTGAGAAAGAGACATAACAAAGACCAGGGGAGGTTGCGACCAAAGATGCATCACCCCATATTCTCTGCCCTGGTATTTCAGGCCCTTGTGAGGCATTTCAGAACACTGTTCCTCTGACCTGCTATTCTTACCATGCCCTTTGAAGAATGTATGCATTCCTGCTTTAAGCAAGATGTGTTGGAGACGTGTTGGAAGCGGCCATGGGGTGGTGTGCGGTGACCCCTTTGAAATGCCACTCATCCAGCGAGCCAGCTGCTGTTGCACGCTCGTCTCCATACAGGAGAGCAGATTTGCAATTGTGTTAATTACAGTTATTACTGGAGTCATGTACCCTCCAGTGTAAATACCATAAATTACTAAAACATATGCAGCTGGCAGTTTCAACACTACCCCGTTTTGGCATTAGGATTAATAAACTCATTTAGTGGAATATAAAAAGATGGGAGCTCAAACACAACAAAAGAGGATGCCGCCAAGCGGTTGTCACTCTGTGGCTTGTTGCGAGGAGGGTGTGGGCGGGTGGGGAATTGAGGTTTTTCAGGAAGATCAGATAGCAAGGTTTTTAAAACAATTTGCCAAGCCTTCCCAAAACATTTCCAAGGCTGCCTTTCACAGAAGAGGAAAAATGAGAAGGAGGTATTTCCACCTGGTTGAAACACCTGGGGCAGCCAAAATTGCTCTCATTGTTCTACTCTTAAGCGGATTAGAAACCAACAGTGTCACTATGTCATCAATGACAGTGGGAAAGAAGAGCAAGATATGTCATTTTCCATGTCATTTCCCTTAAAACAAAGACTTTGCCAAATAAAAAAAGGAAAGCGTACTTTCTAAGAAATGGGGTAAAGGTTCAATCCTGCTTTATAAATACATTGAAACAGACATTGCTTTTCATGGAAAAGGTACAGAGAACAATTCAAAACAGGTAACGTTTTAATGTACAACAGCATCACTGGAAAAGTCAGAAACCAAATAGGATCTTTGTAAAACCTGAAAAAGGAGGCGTAGAAAAATCTAGTGGTGTTGCACTTTGTAGGATATTGAAACTCATAAGGTTTTATGATATCATCAAGCAATTTGTTGTTGGGCCAACAAATGACTGACTATGAAGGACATCGACAGACAAATTATCTTTTCTGAGATGCAGCTATATATTGTACATTGGAAATTTCTAATGTCTTTGTAATTTCTGCCTTGTATATAATCAGCATTTACCATCTACCTTGTTCTGTTTGCTCTCCAGTTTGTTTTTAGTAACACAATTGTGGAGTTTGTTTCCAAAAGGTACTAAACCTATCTGAACAAATTTTCCAGGAATTGACCAAAAAATGTGCCGAGGATGTGCTTTCTTTTGCTATAAAATGCCATCTTCCAAACCCTGTACCGAAGTAATTTGACACCTTTTCATCATTTTGATTTGTGCATAATATTCTACGCCTAGCCAACAATGTGTCACCATACATAATCTTTCACTTTGGGGGGGGGGGGGGTTGTACCTTTTGGAGGAAAAGAACTCTAACTGCATCTGCTCAGTGACAGATGTACATTTTGGATGGAGCTCTTCTAATGTAACTTTTAAAAAAATCAAAACAACTATATATGTCCGTAACCATGTGAGATGTATATCATCATGCAAGGATGATCTTTTTTCAGTTCACATATCTGAAGATGTGAACGAGGGAGGAAAAGAAGGGATTTGCTTGACCAATCCATGTCACATGTTATGAAGGACCTAAAATGGAAGTGGATCTCGGGAAAAGTTGAAAAGCCTTGCAAAAAAAAGTAGTAGGCAGTAACATACAAACACTAGTACTGTGTTACAAAGGTTGCTAATACTTCCAATCATTAAAATAATTGTGTCATTAGAATGGAAAGTGAAAGGAAGAGGAAATCTTGGGGGGCCAAGAGTTGGTCCTGGCAAGGTTTGGGGCCATTTGTTTCTCTTTATCTTCACATCCAGGGAAGGGGTACGCACTACGGGACACACAAAGAGGGGCCTCTGGGGCGCCAATGGGTGTGGGGTGGGTGTTGATGTTGGTGGTGCCAAGAGAGGCCACTCCCTGGTCCAAACTCTGGACCCAACCACCGATGGTTCAGCTCTTGCCTGAGCAGCGCATGATCTAGAAGGGGAAGGGGAGAGAAAGGGGGGAAGAGACACAAGGGCCCAAGGGCCTGTGAGTTTCACCAAGACATAACAGTAAACGAATCGAGATAGTCACCTGGCATTCCCTGTTTCTGCAGGTCATGCTGTGGTGGTTTTCTACGTGAGGACTCATTGGTGGAGGTAAGAGAGATGCCTGTGACAAAGTACCAATCAGAATCCCCGAATGAGGCTGGCAATACATGATTGGTTGGTTGAATGATATCAACAGGCTGGTATCTAAAGACAAGAGAGAACACCATGAGCCATCACAGCAGAAAACATATGGGGGCATTAGCAAACCCCTCTCCCCCCTGCCACCCCAACCAGGCTCACCTCCCAGCCCAAGAAACACAGAGGATAGGATTATGGTATTGCTTTCAAATGACATTTGGCAAAAGGTTTGGTAAAAATAGCTCAACAACTATTCCATCCTTTTTTTTTCACCCCACCATGATATCTGCATGTACATTAAGAGATATTTAATAAACAACATTTTCCTCCCAGGTTCACTGCCACCTGTGAAGCACAGTTCCCCGAACACCCATATTTCCAAAAAGCAACTACAAATGTAAATAAGGACCCTCAGAACATTGTCTGTTTATATGTCTTTGTTTGACTTCCACCCTACCCTTCAAAAGCTTCCAGGGCACCTTGCCAAAAGTTACAAATTACAAAACAAGCACACTGAAATGCTGTTCCAGGTTATGTGCAAAAGTTTTAATAGTCTTCAGAGTCATGAAGTTGAAAACCAAATTACTCTGGAAGCATACTGTTAAACATGCAAGTAAGTATGCTTTCATCCTGCTGTGGCCTTTTTCACTTCCTCCAAACTGCAGGCCGCCTGCACCTGGGGGGTAGCGGTGTGCTCCTTGCGGAAAGGTAACCCTTTACCAGTTCGTTGTAAATATATCAGAAGCAATTTGGAGATTCTCAATTCACAGTGACAATTAGAGATGTTAAGGGCAGTTAATGGCCTAGCTTTTGCTTCCAAAGAATCCTGAAGGAGAAGTTGGATTTATCTAAATAATAAAAGAAATTGCAGCGGAATAATTAAAAGCTATTGCTTACGGCTGGAGGACCATCTTTAATGTTTTTTTATTATTCACATCTAGTACTTTGGAGGTAAAAGCCCAAATACAAACAGCCATATGTGTGTATATATTTTTTATCTATCTGCTGCTGTGTAGAATGAGCCACAGGTCGTATTGATAAATAAAGGAAGGTATTACTATACTAAGCTTTTGGAAACAAATTCATTCTCTCCTCTTCTCTGACACTTCCCTCTTATTCCTTTACCAACACTTTCCGCTCCTATTCTCTCAGTGTAATAGGAACAATTGCCATAGAGCTCAGGCTCTTCCTAGAAAAGAAGCACTCATTCTGCAAAGCGGTGAGAAGAGACTCCCTAGGAAGGGGGTACAGAAGACATTTTCACAAGCAATGCAGAAATTAGGAGTTAGTCCTTTTTTTTTTTACTGCCGCATTGCTTTTTAAATGTCTCTTCTATGAAAAGAGGAATCAAAACTTGGTTGTTATACTAAGGAGACACAGCTCATACATTTCTATTACTAGTATAGCATTACAACCTTTGTATTCATGACACCTTTTGGCTCGGCTTTTTTCTCTTCTTCTGAAAAGCGAATCTGACACAACAAATATTTTATGGCTCAGAGAAATTTCATTTCCTATTAAAATAATTTGCAGGATGAGATTTGCATGCGTCCAAGCAAGGCAAAAGACACATAGCAGGCAATGTAGATGCTGTTGGAGCAGAGGTTACTGCTAAGTAAGAAAAAATAATGGTTCATCCATAAGGCAGAAATAATCACATATGCTTTGTATTAAATATCAAGGGTCAAAGTAGATGTGATGGCAGCAAAACTAGTTCATCAACACCCAAATCAGCAAAGGCAGGCATTCGTCTAGCCCCACCCAAGCCTGGTGACCCCCGGAAATGCGGAACCACATGCTAGCTGTGAATGATGGGAATGGTAGTCCCACACATCTGGAGCATACCAGGTTTGGGAACACTCCCTTGAACCACTCTCTGCCCCCCAGTTGACTTCTAGAGCTCAGCTGAGGTTGAAAAGTGTCATCAGGGAAACGAAAGTACAAAGCACCAAGAGGGATCATGTAGCCCCATCCCCAAGTTTTGGGTGTTTTTACGTACAATATTTTATACTATACCACTTTCCAGGTTTCAGAAAAAAGGCAAAAGTATATATTGTGCTTTATATGTGACTCTAGTCGCATATAAGTTTGACTCTAGTGACTGATGGCAGTGGTGATGATGGTAATGAGAGTGAAGATGAGGATGACAGAATAGTAATACTAAGAAGAACAATATAGAACATTTATATAAAAAATGCGGGTGGGGTGGGGGAATCTGCCCTGTCTTAAGCACCTGGATATTTCTGTCAGTAACAAGATAATCCACTTGGTGTTTTCTTGGGGGAGGGATGGAGGAGGTAAAGAGCAATGGATTTAAAAGTTGGCAGCTGCAAAGTGATTCAGTATCTGGTTTCTTTAAAAGACGTGAAGCCACCCTGATGGATTTGCAGCTGACTCCAGACTTCAGTATGACATTGCAGCGTCATCTTTATCAGCAAAGAGAACAAAAAGTGAGTGTCTAGGGGGCACAAAATAGCAGCAACTGCAGTGGCAAAGCACTTACGCAGAGAGACTGTAACAGGGACGCAAGATGGCAGGCAGGCCGAACTAGTTTCCATCTCGTATTGGCTGCGATGCGTTGGGGCTGGCACACAAGCAGGTGCGGAGATGTGCACTGAGTGGGCTAGTGCAGTCAGGGACTGCCTTCCTGTTTGCCATGAAGGGGAGTAGTCTGTATTCACAACAAGGATTCTCCATTAAATTATAGAACTGTCATGGTGTGTGCATCAGGGTCCCAGAGAGCTCTGGCTTGTGGCCATTGGGTGAACATGAGAGGCCATTCGTATGTTGAGTGGACAGTAACAATAGTTAACTTACACAATTTAGTGTTTAAAATAGGGAGTGGGCTAACAGTATAGCGGTCTAGTCCAGTATAATTTATTTTGAGTGGGAGCAGCTTTCCAGGTCTCAGGCAGAGAACATTCCTATCACTTGTTACCCAGAACTCCGGATTCAGAGAAAGAGCTGCAGCTCAGTGCTAAAGCGCATGTCTTGGATCCTTTTAAACAGTAATCCCAACAATCAAACATATGCATGAACAATAGGAACTCTACCACTGAGATGTGGTCTCTCCCCCAAATATGCTGCCTTGCAGTAATCCTTGTCACAGCTTTCAGTGTGCTTCATGCTGTCAATGGGTTGAAGGCTTAGATATAGAGGCATGCCTAACACAGAGGTGACATTCTATGACTATTGTATTTAAATATTGGTTCCATGTATTTTAATATGTATATTTTATAGAAATGTGTTTGTGTGCATTCCATAAAGTGTTATCGAATGTATCGTGATGTCTTTTGACTATGTTGTGCCCTGCCCTGAGCTGTGAGGAGATGTGGGTAAGAAATAAAGTTGTTTGTTGTTGTTGTTGTTGTTATTATTGTTATTATTATTATTATTATTATTATTATTATTATTATTATTATTATTATTCTGATCAGATCAAGAGACTTTTTAACCCCTACACAAGATACCAGGGGCTCTTGGATTGAACCGGGGATGTCAAAGTCTGCTTCTACATCGGCCTAAAACCCAAAGCCAGTCAAAACTCCACTGTTTTGGTGGACAGCTAGATACCCTCCCAAGTTGATTTGAGATTGACCCTGGGGATGTTGCCACCAGACCACACTTTACCACTAAACCTACCATAGAGGCCTGACTCTGTTTGCAGGCCTCTAGCAAAAAGATTTCTATGGCATTTTAGTAATAAATGGGTCTGAACTTTCCCAGGATTTTTTTTAACTCAGAGTAAACCTGGATATTCAGGTTTACTCTAGGTTAAGCTGTATTAGCATGAGGTGTTGTTTGGACTCCCCAGACTAATCTGTCCCCAGCCAACATTAAAGGGCTGTGTAGATGGGGCCTAAGGGTGTCCCTAAGACTAATAGCCCAGATTACTACACTCTGGTGGAATATATAAAAGACTGGAGGACTTTGCATTATAGGTGGGCTGTACTGGATGTCCCCACTCACTCATGACCACACTCTACCCGTCTCATTCAATTTCCTGTATTTTTTTTTAAAGTCACAGCCATATTGCTGAAAAAATCAGTGCTGCAGGAGCAATTTTGGAGGCAACAAGCTGTTGTTGAGGAGCATGTGGTCCATATGTTTATTTAGGCCATTTTGTTGCTCTGTGCCTTCAGTGGGTTTCCATGGCTGAGTGGGGATTCAAACCCTGTTCTCCAGAGTCCCAGTCCAAACCCCAACCTATTAAACCATGTAGTGGTTTGTCTCTAGGGGAAACAAAATCGTTTTCTTTGCTTTAATATTGACAGTTTCTTCTGTTTTTATTGGGTTTTTGCCTACTTCTCATATACTTGAAAACCAAAGAGATTTTGAGTATCCCTGATGCAATATGCTTGGGAACAGAAGTATTTTGGAATATTTGCATATATATAATGCATATCTTTGAGATGGGATCCAAGTCTATAATACAAAATCCATTTACATTTCATATACTTGTTAAACATATTATCCTGGAGGTAATGTTATACGCATTAAAAATAATGTTGTGCATTAAACAAATTTTGTGCATATCAAACCATCAAACATCAAAGGTAGACAATTTTAGATTTTGGAGTATATTGTATTTGAGAATTCCTGATAAGGAATGCTCAGCCTGTAATTTAGGCGTTCCTTACAACTGGGCACTTGGAGCTCCATTTAAACAAGAAGAAAAAAATAAAGAGTAAAGTCAATGTAATTTTATGCTACACCACATTGTATATAATAGATACATGTTTCTAAAGTAACATCAAGTTCTCTAAAAATCTGTTTTTTCTGACTCACCCGAGATTTTTAAAATTTTATTTCATAGCTTCAAAATGATCAAAAATGTTACATCTCTGTTAGTTAGGAAACCCTATGGGTCATCAATAAATATCAAACCAAGGGGTGAACGTTCCACATTTTTGCCCTAGCCACTGGGCTTCTATAAGGGTGTCCCTAAGATTTTTTTTTGCCTTAAATAAGGGGAAAATGTGGATAGAGTAAATCACTTCGTATGCAAGCAAGTGACATTTCAGCATCAGTTTCCTGAATATTGGCTATATGTAGGCTGTATTTTGGAGGAAACAGCATGCAAATCCACCTCTGACTATCCCTTGTCTTAGAAAACCCTATGAAATTCATGGGGTTGCTGTAAGATGAGAGGCTACTTGAAGGCATGTGCACGCACACGCACGCACGCACGCACACACGCACACACACTGAACTGAAAATCCATTTCTAAAGGTCCTTGTGGCCAATCTTTTTGAGGGTGGCGATGGGGTCTCTTTCTATAAGTTTAAGATTTAGACTGCATTCCAAAAAGTTTTGGAGGAAATCAAGGGGGGAAAGGAAGGCATCATTTCAACAGTTAAAAATATTTCCTCCTTTCTCACTTGTTAACTGCTGTTTGTAGGAAACAGAAGAGGGGTGTTGGTGTAAATGTGTGTCCATTTTAATCCCTGCTGGGTTAATTATGGAGTCAAATGCCAGATCAAAAGGGGTCCAGTAGGAAAGAGCACCACAGAAGACTCCAGCTGCCACGGGAACAGCTGTATATTAATGGGGAAACTATAAAACCGATGTTTGACTGGCTGGAGCAGAAACAGTACTTATATAAAAGGATATACAAGCAACTTTTCCTATGCTATTTTATTAAGTTACCATTATATTTTACCTAATCAAGGAAGCTAAAGGTGGAATACTGTTGGTGCACTGCACATATGGCACTTTTTCAAGGGTTATGCAGTGGTGGCAAGGACTCCGACCAGCCTCTTCCTCCAATGCCTTTTCCTTCATGCCCATAACTCATTCCCTCCTGCTGCCACCACCCAAATGCTGTATTTCTTCCACTGGAAGACACCATCAATTGTAAGACACACCCTAATTTTAGTACCACCACCAACAAAAATACATAAGATACAGCACACCCCATTTTTAAAGATGTTTATATAGGAACAAAGTGTGTCTTAAAATGGAAGAAATATAGTAGTACATCCCCCAAATAATACAAGAACAGAATTCCAACTGTGATATGTGTAGTTTAGGGAGGGACAAGAACCCAGAGGTAGAGTCCATGTTTGCGCATACAATGGTCATGTTCAACCCCTGCATCTCTGGACAAAAGAACAAAACAGCAAGTGATGGGAAAGAGCTCTCTCTGCCTAAGACCATGGGAAGCCTTCACCAGCTAGAAGAAAAACCTGAGCTAGATGGATAAATACTTGACCTGATACATGGCAGATTCTACTCTCCTAAGAAGGGGGTTTTCTCTATTCATCTCATTCTGGGTTTTTCTCTCTGTATTTTAAGCCATTTCTATGTTGACAATCTTTCCCTCCCACTACCTCCCTTTCCCACTTACAACCACTTTTTAAAATGGCAACATAAGGAGAAGCATTTCTATTTGGCATGTTCATTTGATTAACTTCCTTTAGGCCCTCTGTAATATCAGGAAGACTAAGAATGCTATGAATTCAGCTTGTCCCCAGCGGGGTATGCTGCCCAGTCCACAACAGGGGTGGAGCATAAAGAGTAAAGATTACGCCACTTGGCTTTGACATCTGGTTCATTATGTCTTACCAGTTACAATAAGATTCCCTTCTGCTTTTGAAAGCCCCACTAGAGTGGATGGTTGGCATTCTGGTTTTGCCTCTCCTTATCTACGTACTCAGCCTGACAGTCTTACAGTGCATGAAAAGGGGATCAATCTTAGTATGAAACCCACTGGGGTGATAAAACCTACCTGCAGGGTGACCTGGGATCACAAGGCTGTTGGTGGGTATTGCTGGAGGAGGTGGTAGCGTAGGAGGGGTGGCAAACATGGCCGGATGATGCTGGTGTTGGGACTGAGATCGGAGAGGGAAATGCGAGGCAGCAAGGTTAGAGATGGAGAGGGGTAAAACTGGACCAGAGGGATGATGAGGAGGGATCTGAGGTGAGAGTGGGAGATGTTTGGGAAGACTAATGCTTGTTGCGCTACTGGCACTGCTGCTTCTACTGCGGAAATAAAAAAAGGCAAGGGGTGGTGGGGGGTGGGGGGGAGAAGAGAGACAGCCATTACAAAGACATCAGTATTATAATAACATTCTGCAAAACAACATGCATGCAAGTTTCCCAGGAAAACATTGGGTTTTAAAAAATTCTTTCTTAAATATTATACAATGCCAAAACATTCAGAACATAATACAATTGTCTTATTGCACCTTCTATTCCCAGATCTATACCCCCAACCCTCCCATTACCTACATAGATTTATAAAAATACCATTTAAAACACATTTGAAGACCTATATCTTCCGGCAGACCTACCCAGTCAGTTTTAATCATGAATTTTAAACTCGCGTCTTGTGTTTTAATCTTTGCTCTGTGTATTTTAATATGTATTTTAAAGGAGATGGTGGAGGTAACCAAGGTAACCCACTCTAGCACCTTGCCAAGAACGGGAGGTTAGAGATTGGTCTGTAGTTGTTCAGAACAGTGGGGTCAAGTGAAGCCTTCTTCAGAATTGGTCTTACTACCACCTGTTTAAGGTAGGACGGAAATTTCCCTTGAGCTAATGACACATTAATTATAGAAACAAACCAATCTAGTAACCCACCTCTGGCCAGTTTAGCCAGCTAGGAAGGGCAAGGGTCCAGAGCACAAGTGGTCGCTCTCACTGCCCCAAGGATGTTGTCCACGTCATTAGGTTGAACTAGTCGAAATGAACCCCACAAGATCGGACTGACAGATGCCTCAGTTACCTCCTCTGGGAGATGGTGGCGGGGTATAAATAAAGTTGTTGTTGTTGTTGTTATAATATTTTGTAGAAATATGATTGAATATGTGTATTTTGTAAAATGTTTCCGGTGATTATGCTGTAACCCAAAATTATTATTATATTATTCTAATTTTATCCATTACATATAAGTATTGTAACATAGAATCATAGAATCATAGAGTTGGAAGAGACCCCATGGGCCATCCAGTCCAACCCCCTGCCAAGAAGCAGGAAAATTGCATTCAAAGCACCCCCGACAGATGGCCATCCAGCCTCTGTTTAAAAGCCTCCAAATGAGCCTCCACCACACTCCAGGGCAGAGAGTTCCACTGCTGAACGGCTCTCACAGTTAGGAAGTTCTTCCTAATGTTCAGATGGAATCTCCTTTCTTGCAGTTTGAAGCCATTGTTCCGTGTCCTAGTCTCCAGGGCAGCAGGAAACAAGCTTGCTCCCTCCTCCCTATGACTTCCTCTCACATACTTATACATGGCCATCATGTCTCCTCTCAGCCTTCTCTTCTTCAGGCTAAACATGCCCAGCTCTTTAAGCCGCTCCTCATAGGGCTTGTTCTCCAGACCCTTGATCATTTTAGTCGTCCTACTCTGGACACATTCCAGCTTGTCAACATCTCCCTTCAACTGTGTTGCCCAGAATTGGACACAGCATTCCAGGTATGGTCTAACCAAGGCAGAATAGAGAGGTAGCATGACTTCCCTGGATCTAGACACTATACTCCTATTGGTGCAGGCCAAAATCCCATTGGCTTTTTGTTTCTGCTGCTGCATCAGATTGCTGGCTCATGTTTAACTTGTTGTCCACAAGGATGCCAAGATCTTTTTCACACGTATTGCTCTTGAGCCATGTGTCCCCATTAATTGTCCATTAATTGCTCAACCGCAATCTATCTTGGACTTCTGGTGGCTTAAATTTGACATTGCCTTTACACATGAAGCTAGTAAATGTTTTCCAAGTGCTATCAAATAGATCTTCTTTCAGTTCTCCTTATGCCAAACTTACTTTATATGTTATCTTTTCTGATAGACGTATTGCCCATATTTTGTTTAACCAATTCTTTATTGTCAGATGCTCTAATGTTTTCCAGGTTTTCATTGTGCCGAGTCTTGTGGCGCATAACATGAGCAGTATAAGATTTTTATTTACCAGATTCTAATTCTCACTTTCGAATACAGAAATCAATAATAGAGCTATTTGTTTAATCCATGATAGAATTTCATCCCAGAATCTCCATACTTTTGGGGATGTTAGCCACATATGGCTTCAATCTCTTATTTCTTCACTTTCTCCAACAGCAAAACATTGTTTACCCAAGTTGCTGGAAGTGTCCATCTCAATTCATGGAGCTTTCCCAACCTGAATTAGGAAAGTATTCCCTGGAGAACATCATTTTTATTCCAACATAAGCTTTCAATGGGCTTCCTTTCCATATATTATACCTAATATCTACTCTCCCCTAGTACACCTATCATTTTTAATACTACCGTCAGCTATTCATGTTCTCATATTGACACAGATTATTACAAACATGTGAAAAATGAGAATTTCTTGTCTTGACATAATATAGAGCTTGCCTTTCAATGTCTGAGCCAAACCGGTATATTGAAATTAGCATGGTAGATCTGTGTGTTTGTATAGTTTGCTTCTAAAGGTTAAAATTGATGCACTAAAGTGAAGACTGAGAACTGTTCAGCGAAGGCAGGACTCCATGAAAATTTCCTGGGTGTTTAATAAAAGCCCTTTAGGTTTTTCAGGCACTCATCAAGCTCACAAATCTTTGGTATAGTACCCTCAGCCCTGTTATCTCTGTAGGACAGGGGTCATTTACTCGGCCCCTGGTCTAAACTTTACACTTAGGGTCATCCTAAGTCTGAAACAACTTCAAGTCACACAACAACAACAACAACAACAACAACAACAACATTCTGAATTAACTTGACTATCTGATCAGCCAAAAGCAGGCCCACAATTCCCACTGAAATACTGGTAAGTTTATGTTGGTTAAAACTGTTCATCATTTTAAATACTGTATTGTTCTTTAATGTTTTTGCAGTACAAATAATATATCTGCAGTGGGCATAGCAATTTGTCCATGTTTTTTCTCAAAATATAGTCCCCCCCCCCCAACAGTCTGAGGGACAGTGAATCGGCCCCCTGCTTTCAAAGTTTGAGAACCCCTGGTGTAGGATAGGCTCCAAGACTCCTAGTGGAGGCTTGAAACTAGAGATAATACTAAACCCTATACGTACTGTGTTTTTTCCTATACATACATACCTATGTTCAAAATTACTACTGGGCAGTCAGTGTATATAGTGTAGAGATGCTGGACAAAAGGATGTTTCACAGTGAGGGTGGGACAGTGTGAGATTTCATCACACTACTCCGAATAGGGTGCAATTTAAAATGTATGAATTGTCTACAGTTTTCTTCAGACCACCATGACTAACTGAAACTGCTGGAAGCAAAATGAGGATGAGTGGGGGTGTACTTTTCAAGATGTACTTGATGGGGAAAGGTTTCAAAAACCATCATAAAATCCAAAGTGCAGTGTTCAAACTAGAGGATTTCAGGCAGTAGAGCACCTTGTGAACATAGACTACCCACCTGATATTATTGAGTCCGTTGTGGGCCACCTGATGGTGTACTTGGTAACTGAGAGAAGGTGGGATGTGGCTTGGAGGTTGAATCCGAAAATCGGGCAACAGCTGAGGCTGTGACTGAGGCCGAGGGTGAGGCTGGGAGTGCAGTTGAGGCTGTGGGGTGAGCCTGGGAGGTGCCGGGACTGAGATCCGTGGCTCTTTTTTCAGTAGAGGGCTTGCCTGTGCACTCGAGGTGGGTGCAGAGGAGTTGGAAGTCACAACGGTAGTGGTTGCTGGGGGGCTGTGGAGTGGCAGCACAAAGGGCACGTCAGTGTTGAGTTCTTGACTCCGCTCTAGCCCAGACACCTTGGGGATGCCTCCTGCTTTCACTTCGGCCTTGTCATTCGAGGATGTACCTTAAAAAATGAGACAAATAAGGCAAAACCTTTGTGGCAAAAACATCTTGAGGAGGGGTTTTGGTTATTTGTGGAGGATGGCAAAAAAGGATCTGAGACGATCAGCCAACAGCAATTTGTTATTTAAAGATAGCATGGGTATGAGGGCTTAGGGAAAAAAACCCATGAATTTGTTAATTTCTTCTTTTCTTTTTAACAATATGCTTTTCCTATGAAAACACTCCTCATCACAGACATCCACTTAAGCAAAATATCAGGAGACAAGGTTCCCACAGGTGGATTCGGAGTCATAGGAAACAGTACCCCTCTCCCTAAAGACAAGAGGAAGAATCATATCATGGAAGAATTATATCAGTTTTTACATACGGGAAATCGACCAATTCATTTGAAAGTATAAAACAAATGATATTCAATATCATCCCTTGCCAGAAGCCCAATCTCATTAAACCTCAAACCATGCTCCAGGAAGTGTAATCAGACCCGATGGTCTGCGAAACCAGTTATTCACTTCTATTATCCTTCTCTCCCTTCTGGGGCCACATCCTTGAATTGGGAGGAAAGACAAAACGATGACCTGGCCATCAAGACCCTTCAAGTTTCTTATCCATGGCCTTGTAATCTCATGCGATTTCCTGAAGGCTAGGCCTTACAGTGTCATTGGAAGAAGATAACTGTCTGTGGCCTTGACAAGCCTTGTCAGCCTCTCTGATACATCACAACTCCAAAGTCATCCTGTCAGACCTGCAAACCAGAGTTTCTGTTCCCCTTAGCAAAGTGTCCCCTACCATTCCCACAGGTATCCTTGGAGGATTGGCAAGGGGCTTTCAGTGTGCTGACTCTTTCAGGGTCATCTGCACATTTCCTGAGGACAAGAACTGCTGCACCTATTCTTGTTCTGCATCATCACAGAGGCTGGAGAGAGCTATGAATGGAATCTCTAGCTTCTAATGTACAGAATGATTCCGGGTCCTTCTATTTCTAGGTATCAGTTTCCTCCAAGTGTTTACCTCCTGCGTTTGGGGAGTGAACTCCTCAGACTTCCCCTGTCTCTTCCAAGACAGTTTTCCTTGCTGGATCCAAGAACGCCTCTTCCTCCCTAATGTTGGAGGGTGGATATGTGGGCCTCAAGATGCTGAACCTAACAAACATACTACAGCTGTTGCAGGTGACTAAATGAGTTCTTTCACTATTTATTTTTAGCAGAATTAAGTAGAGAATGGAACAGGATTCCAGGGTTCCCCCTCAAACTCCCCTGCTAAACACCCACCCTGTTTGCTTCTCCTGTTCACCTTGCTTCTGTAGACCTTGCTCCAGGAACTAGTAATGAAAGTTCTTCCCCATCAGCCTATGACCTACTTCCTCTATGCTGCTGCCCCTTCCTCTTGAGACCAGTTGCCCAGGCAGATGACCTGAAGCTATTCACATAAGAACAATAGAACCTTAGCAAGCAAGTTTCCACTCAACTCACACAAACAAACAAACAGCCTTTCTCCAAAATACAGAACAGCCATAAGTCATAACGCTGCAAACTCCCCCAAATTACTATGAGAGTGAAGAGATTGAACTGAGAGGCACACTCACTTTATGCCGTCTCTTCCATCACATCCATGCAAAACACCCTGTTTGTCTCTTCTGTATGCCTTGCTCCAGGAATGGGTGATGTAGCTATATAGATTGTTGCTGGCAGTTACCTTCTCCCCATCCAAGAGAGTGAGTGTGCCTTCTTGTATGCCTTCAAATCTGTTCTGACTTATGATTGCTGTAGGCAAACCGATCCATGGGGGTTTCCTGGCAAGAAACTGGCCACTGCTCTTGGGCAATATTATTTATTTATTTACTTACTTACTTTATTTGTATACCGCTGTTCTCAGCCCTTAGGCGACTCACAGCGGTTAACAACAGTAGCAGCAAATATTCAATAATAACATCAACAAGGTATTTAAAAACAATTAACATAATAACAGATGAGGCAATTAACATCAGTAACCACTCATTGGCATCTCATAACTGAAAACATGATCCAAACTCGTCATCCGTTGTTCTGTTCCTATATTCATTGCACTGCCTATTCAAACGCCTGTTCAAATAGCCAGGTTTTCACTTTTCTCTGAAATACCATTAGAGATGGAGCCGATCTAATGTCCGTGGGAAGGGCGTTCCACAGCCAAGGGGCCACCACCGAGAAGGCCCTGTCTCTCGTCCCCGCCAACCGTGCCTGTGTTGCAGGCGGGATCGAGAGCAGGGCCTCCCTGGAAGATCTCAAAGTCCTAGTGGGTTCATAGGCAGAGATGCGATTGGATAGGTAACTTGGGCGGGAACCGTTTAGGGCTTTATAGGCCAACGCCAGCACTTTGAATTGTGCCCGGTAGCAAATTGGTAGCCAGTGGAGCTGGAGCAACAGAGGGGTTGTATGCTCCTTGCGCGCCGCTCCTGTTAGTATCATGGCTGCCAAGTGTTGGACCAATTGAAGCTTCCGAGCCGTCTTCAAAGGCAACCCCACGTAGAGAGCTTTGCAGTAGTCTAAACGGGATGTAACCAGAGCGTGGACTACCGTGGCCAAGTCAGACTTCCCAAGGTACGGGCGCAGCTGGCGCACAAGCTTTAACTGTGCAAATGCTCCCCTGGTCACCGCTGAAACCTGGGGTTCCAGGCTCTGCCATGAGTCCAAGATCACACCCAAGCTGCGAACCTGCGTCTTCAGGGGGAGTGCGACCCCATCCAGCACAGGCTGTAACCCTATGCCCTGTTTGGCCTTGCGACTGACCAGGAGTACCTCTGTCTTGTCTGGATTCAGTTTCAATTTCTTCGCCCTCATCCAGACTGTCACAGCGGCCAGTCACAGCGGCCAAGCGGTTCAGGACCTCGACAGCCTCCTTAGTAGCAGGTGGAAAGGAGTGACAGAGTTGGACATCATGTGCATACAAATGACACCGTACTCCGAAACTCCGGATGATCTCTCCCAGCGGCTTCATGTAGATATTAAACAACATGGGAGACAATATTGAACCCTGAGGAACCCCACAAGACAAGGTTGTGGGGTTGAACAGGTGTCTCCCAGTAACACCTTCTGGGATCGACCCTCTAGGAATGACTGGAGCCACTGCAAAACAGTGCCTCCAAGTCCCATCCTCGCGAGGTGTCCTAGAAGGATACCGTGGTCGATGGTATCGAAGGCCGCTGAGAGGTCCAGCAGCACCAACAGGGACACGCTCCCCCTGTCGAGCTCCCGGCGCAGATCATCCACTAAGGCGACCAAGACTGTCTCAGTTCCATGTCCCGGTCTGAAACCGGACTGTGCCGAATCCAGATAATCTGTGTCTTCCAAGAATACCTGGAGTTGTGAGGCCACCACACGTTCCAGGACTTTGCCCAAAAAGGGGAGATTGGAAACTGGCCGATAGTTGTTGAATTTAGTGGGGTCCAGTGATGGTTTTTTCAACAGCGGTTTTATTATAGCTTGTTTTAAGCTCGCTGGAATCTTGCCTTCCCGAAGGGAGGCATTAACCACCACCTTAACCCACTCAGCCAATCCCCCTCTGGCCTCCTTTAGAAGCCAGGATGGGCAGGGGTCTAGGATGCACGTGGTAGGCCTCATTCCTCCAAGTATCTTGTCCACAACCTCGGGTTTCACCAATTGAAATGAATCCATCAAAACTGGACAAGCAGGTGCTCGTGTTACATTCTCAGAGATTGCCATTAATATGGTATCCAGACCAGAAAGGATCAAAGCAACTTTGTCTGCAAAGAACTGAGCGAAAGCTTCACAGTGAGTAGCCGAATTGTCAGGGTTCCCACTTTGGGTGGTGGGATTTAAAAGGCCTCTGACAATTCGGAACAGCTCGGCTGGATGGTTCTTTGCAGACGCAATAGTGGCCACAAAGAAAGATTTCTTTGCGGCTTTTATTGCCGCGGCATATGCCCTTAAAAAGGACACAAACCGTGTTCGATTTGGCTCGCTTGGATCCAATAACCAAAAACATCCTGTCAAATTTGGAAGCACCAACGACCATGTCTTCGTGAGTTATTGCAGGCTCCATTTTTAATTTTTTTTAATTCTTCTTCTAGATACTGAAGCTTTATTACTAGAAGCTGACACTTAGCTTTCTGAACTGTTGGGGTGCAAACATTCATTCTTTCTATTAATAATTCACTATTCCATTAGGAAATTAGCTCAAGGAAATTAAATAAGAACTGCAATTCCAAATGAAGACATTTGGTAAACATAAATGAGTTGGAATATGCAAAGCATGGAACATGAACGGAAATTTGCTATTTTGAAATATGTGATGTAGCCTTATAGAAAGGAAATCTACACCAAACAGAACAAGTCCAAAAGTCTCCTGGTCCTTATTTTATATGCAGAGTCAATTATTCCTAACACTAAGGAAGTTCAGTTTTGTCTATGGGAGATATGTGAAGGCACTCTTTTGTGACAAAATACCAAAAAACAGCTTTTCGCTATACTATTGATATGATGCCAGAAAAGGCCACATCAGATGTCCCTCTGAATGTGTAAAGATGTCGTACTAATCATAGCAGGATTGACAGTCAAATTCCATTTATATTGACCCTGACTCCATTTTCCTTGCATCTGCAATAATGCATGTCAAATGAAGGTTTGATTTCTCAGAAGCACATAAACAAAGTCAAATCGGCGCACATCATCACCATAAATTGGAATAGGAGGAATTGTTAAGGCTACCACCGTTGTGTCCCTATTGCTCTGGGGCATGGTTCTCGGAAGTGCTAGGTTAGTCCTATTAGGGAAATATTTCTAGGTTCAACAAGAGGTTATGGCTAGTGTATTGCCTAGTTTAGGAGGCATTGCAGTAACGAATCATTCCACCAATATATTGTAACTTGAAAGCATTTGGCTTTCACCATTTGTAATGTATGCCTCTGTAATGGGGAAACAATCAATTACCGATTTCAGAAGATATGCTACTGTAATTTCTTAGCACCTGACATGACAAGCACTTTTGTAAATACTTTTTCCACAT